TTTCTTTCTTTCTTTCTTTCTTTCTTTCTTTCTTTCTTTCTTTCTTTTCTCTGTAGCTTTGGAGCCTGCCCTGGGACTAGTTCTTGTAGACCAGGCTGACCTTGAACTTACAGATGTCTGCCTGCCTCTTCCTTCTGAGTGCTGGGGTTAAGGGTGTGCCACCACCACCCAGAGAGAACTACATTTTTAAGATTGCACCAGAGTTGTCCCACTGGGTCCTCAGGCCCAGCCTCTGTGACCAGCAGGGGTTCCTCTGAGTCCTGTCCCTTACTATGGAATACAAGAGGGACACATGCAAGCCGGGCAGTGGCAGCGCACACCTTTAATTCCAGCACTTGGGAGGCAGAGGCAGGTGGATTGCAGTGAGTTCAAGGCCAGCCTGGTCTACCAAGTGAGTTCCAGGACAGCCACAACTGTTACACGGGGTGGGTGGGGGGGAACCTATGCTCCCTTGAGACCCCATCCACAGCTCTGTTACTCTAGAGCTCAGTTGTGGGCCGCTGTCCAGCTCAGGGTGTCACCCCTGGGTACACAGGATGGTGTTGTTACCTTGGGAGGCGTGAAAAGCAGGCAGAAGGGCGGGCAGATTCCGGCAAAGCTGGGAGGGGGGGGCTAAGGGTGAGGACGGGGCTGTGGCCCTTGTCACAGCAGGACCCAACCACAGCCTGGCCTAGGAGGACAGACAGATAATGGGGCCTTCCAGCCCCTGGCCCCAGAGAGGGAGGGGCTTCCTGACAGGAAATTGTCCTCCTCCAAGCCCCCCCTCCTCAGATCCAAGCTCTCAGCAGTCTTGGCCCAAGTAGTCTGAAGACTGGACAGCAAGAGGGGACAACGGGACAGGCACGGACAGAAAGTAGAAGGTGAGTGTCTGGGGGTGAAGAATGCACGCTCCCAAGGTCTCCCAAGGATGGGGACCCCATCAGAACCCAGGACCTGGAAAGCAGGAGGGTTCAATGGGCAGAGGGAGGCTGAAGGCTGAGTTTGGTGGCTGCTGCGGGAGAGGCAGAAGGCAGAGCACAGCCCGGGCCTGGAGGGCTCTGGGTTCCAGAGAGGGAGGAGGGACTTGTAGAGACTGCGGCTGGCCGCTCTTGGAGGACGGAGATAGGGGATGTTTGATCTAACACACTCTGATGGGGAGGCTGAAGGATGATGGGATCCAACGCTTGCTGCCTCCCGAAAGATGAGGATGGCAGCACCCAGAAAACCTGGGTACGGGCACACACCTGCAATCCCAGGACTAAGGAGGCTGAGGCAGGAGGCTGGCCAGTTTGGATTACATAGTGACTTCCAACCAGCTTGGATTAGAGATCGAGACTGTCTGAATAAATAGAAAGAAAGAAAGAAAGAAAGAAAGAAAGAAAGAAAGAAAGAAAGAAAGAAAGGAAGAAGGAAAGGAAGGAAGGAAGGAGAAAGAAAGAAAGAAAGAAAGAAAGAAAGAAAGAAAGAAAGAGAAGACAGGGCTAGCAAGACTGCTCAGTGGTTAGAGGTGCTCACTGCTGTGAGGAACTGGATTCCACCTCAGAGACCCGCAAGGCAGAGAGAGCTGACTAACAAAATTTACATGAGATCTCCATATATAGACCATGACACGTGTGCACCTCCACACACAAAATAAATAAATCAATAAATAAAATTAAAAAGAGAGAGAGTGAGCAAGCAAGGCTAGGATTAGCTAGGGAGGCTGCTCACTGGTGGCGGGATCAAGTCCACAAGAGTCAAGCTTTAGGACGGTCAGCCTGGAAGAAACGCTTCCCAATGCAGGCCTTCAGGACTTTAAAACAAACAAACCAAAAACCAAAAAACCCACTATTTTTCATCTGGGCAGTTGTGGTGCATCCCTTTAATCCCAGCACTCCGGAGGCAGAGGCAGATGGATCTCTGTGAATTTGAGACCAGCCTGGTCTACAGAGTGAGTTTCAAGACAGCCAGGGTGACACAGAGAAACCCTGTCTGGAGAAACACACATAAACAAACAAACAAATAGGTAGGTAGGTAGGTAGGTAGGTAGGTAGATAGATAGATAGATAGATAGATAGATAGATAGATAGATAGATAGATAGATAGATGATAGATATCCCCCCCCACCCCCCACTCCCCGTCTCATGTAGCCCAGGTTGGCCTCAAACTCCTATATGTCCAAGGATGATCCTGATGCTCTGATCCTCGGCATGGGTGTCTTGAGTGCCTGGAAAACAGGCCTGCACCGCCGGTGCCCCTCCTTCCCCCTTGCTGGATTGGGTATCTGGAGTTTCGTGCAAGCCGCAAGCCCCGAGGGTCTGCGGCTGCACCACTGAGCCACATCCGCTGCCTTGGCTTTTGATGTTTTGATCTCAAGTGCCTCAGTTTGACCTCCTGCCTCTACCTCCCGCGTGCCAAGATTAAAGGCATGCCCTCACCACACCGGGTTTGTGGGTTTGTCTGTACCCAGGATGTCAAAAGCATTGTGGTCCTCCTGCCCTGGCCCTCCCGAGACAGGCGCTGGGATTGCTGTGCCACCATACCTAACTCGATGCTGAGGGCTTGACAGTGTCAGGATTACTGATGAGGGTTTGGGGAAAGGCTGGCAGTGAGGAAGAGGAGGAGGGGCCGGGAGAGGGAAACGCTGGTGGCCTAGACATCCTGCAGAACCGGGAGGCTGGGGGCTTGAGAGAGGCTCGGAAGTGAGTCAGGGGCCTGGGCACCGGGAGGCAGCGGAGGGCGTTGGAGGGGACAGGATGTTGGAGCCAGGTTGCAGAGGGAGGTGTCGGAGTCAGGAAGGGGAAAGAGGTGGGGGGGTTGTGGTAAATGCTGCTTAAGTTTAGAAATGCTGGGAATGTGCTGGGAATGGTTTGAGGGGTACCAGGGAGTGAGTGGCAGACGAAGTCTTGGCTTTGCTAGAGGCAGTTGGGAGCAGCAGTCATTAGAGGACTTAGAGGTAGTTTGGGGGTCGTTGGAGCCGTTACTGGGAGGGACTGAGCCACTTTTTCATTACAGTTTGTTTGTGTGTGCGTGTGTGTCAGGCGTTCATGTGCTGCAGTGCATAGGTAAAGGCCAGAAGACACTTTTAGTAGTTCATTTTTGTTCCTACCGTATGGAGATGAGGCATCAGACTCAGGTTGTCATGCTCGGCGGCAAGTGCCTCTACCCACTGAGCCACCCCACCGGCCCCCCGGAGCCATTTTTTGGGTGAGGCATGCAGAGCCTTCCAGAAGATGGAAGACTAATAAATTGGTGTGTGAATGTGTGTGCCCACGGGGGAGTGTGTATCGATTGTACACCGCCGTGGGGGCTCCAAAGCAAAGGGTTGCTATGGTGACTGCCTCATTCCGGGATAGGGACTGTGGAAACTGGAGGGAGGTTGACAACGGTGTGTCTAGAAAACGTTGTGTCTAAACAGTCGAGGTTGAGAGTGAGAGTCGGAATGCAGATTCTACCACGAGAACCGACACTTCTAGCTGCAGCCTCTCTCCAAGGTGCACGGCTCTGTAGTCTCCCTTTGTAAACTCGCTATGGGTCCAGCCCATGTAATATATAATATAATATAGTGAACAAACTCGCTATGGGTCCAGCCCTTATAATATATAATATAATGAGCATCCAGTGTTTATTTACCCAGTTTTGTCTGGAATATTATGCAGCCCTTAAAGCAAGCAAACCAGACAGTGCGGCTATATGTCAATAAACGTTACGGGTGCGTGTCGTAAGCAGAGGAAAGGGAAGCACTGAGCTGTGAGACAGACTGTGCAAGGCCGTTTCTGTTTTCATATTTTGCCCACATGTAATCAACACACCACTTGCATGCCTGGTGCCCAAAGAAGCCAGAATAAGAACAGGGGTGGAATTTCAGATGGTTGTGAGTTGCCGTGTGGGTGCTGGGAATCAAACTCGGGACCTCAGTCAGTGCTTTTGACCAGTGAGCCAACTCTGCAACCTCCATCTTTTATGATTTTGTGAGACAGGGTCTCATTCTGCATTCCAGGCTATGCTGGAACTCACTATGTGGCCCAGGCTGGCTTTGAACTTAAGGTGACGCCCTCATCTCAGCCTCCTGAGCTCTGAGTTGTTATGCAGGACTGCTGATTTTGTTTTTAATACTTTTCTAGATGTTTGGAGTACTTCATCATTTAATTTATTTGGTTGGGTTTTTGTTTGTTTGTTTGTTTTGGGTTTTTTTGTTTTTTGTTTTTTTGGGTTTTTTTTTTTTTTTTTTTTTTTTTTTGTGCTGGGGATGGGACCCAGGGACAAACATATACCAGGAAAGAGCTCTGCTGTTGAGCTGCATCCTTTGCCCTGGAAAGCGACATTATTTATTTATTTATTTATTTATTTATTTATTTAGGATACAGTCTACACGATGAGGTTCTGGTTGGCTAGAACTGTATAGACCTCTATATAAACCAGGCTGGCCTCAACTTCACAGAGATTTATCTGTGTCTGCCATCTTGCTGACCCTGTGAAGAGTACATTTTACAAAAAAAGGAAAAGAAAAGAAACAAGGGGCCCTTGAGAAATCTCAGTGCGTAAAGGCGCTTGCGGCCAAGGTTGAGGGCCTGAGATCGATCCCTGGGGCCGGCATTAGAAAGAGAAACTGGCTACCTCATACGCGCTGTGACGCTCCAGTGACCACGTCCACACACACGCAATATGGGTAGAGTTAGAATGATAATCCAGGGCTGAGGTATATCTCAGTAGTGGAGCATGGGCCCTCATCCACCAGGCCCTGAGTTCTGGGCACAATGCTGACAACAAGGTAAGATCAAAATGTTTCCCCTGGGAAACAGCCCAAGTCCCTTGTCACAGAGTTCAGGTCCTGTGTGGCCCGCTCCACATGACCTCCTCCCCCCCAAGGAATGAACTGTCTGTCTCCTTCCTTCCTTTGCTTCCTGTTAGCACCCATTCCAGAGTGCCTGACCCATGCTCTGAGCCAGGGACGCAGGAGTGACGGACACAGCCCAGCCCTGCCCACCCCAGGCTCTCAGTCCAGATGCAGATCTGTCCCCAGACAGGGACAGCCATACAGGGAACCATAGGGAACCCAGGGGTTCCAAGAGACCCAAGGGTCAGGAGGACTTCCTGGAGGAGGCTGCCTTGGCACTGAGATCCAAAGCATGGAGACCTGGCTCCATGTGGGGAGGCCTGGAGACACAGCCCACAGAAGAGGAACCAGGGGATTTATTCACTCTAGAGAGGTGTGCAGCCCAGCCCACAGATCCCAGGGCCCTGATGAGGGACCTGAATGTTGTACCAATGGCACTGGGGAGCTATGGAAGGTTCTGGAGAGGAAGGATCAGGTTTATGCTACGTGGAAGTCTTCAAAGCTGAGCTACAAGTGCCAAGAAGCTGAAAGGGCATGGTGGTGCAATACTGTTATCCCGGAAGTGGAGGCAAGAGGATCGGGAGTTCAAAGCCAACCTACACTATGTGATTTCTGCCTCAAAAATTAAAATAAGCTTGGTATGGTGGCTGTAGGCATACCTAGAAGATTGAGACAGGAGGATCACCTCAAGTTTGAGGCCATCCTAAGCTATGTAACAAGTCTTGGATCAGCCTGGACTTCTGTCTGAAAAAAACAAAACTAAACAAAACACAAAAAACAAAGAAACAAAAACCTGAGTCTGGGGCAGAGAAGTGGTCATAGTTTCCAGTTGTGAGGGGGGTTTAGGGAGGGACAAAGGACCAGAGATGGAGACAAAGAGATGGACAGGACTCAGGACAGTGCGAGCCCTGTAAGGGTGGCTCTGGCCTGTCACAGCTGTATCCCCACAGCCTGTAAAGAATGGATCCCAAGACCCAGTAAGTTTCTTGCTTTTTGGCAGTGTTGGGTATCATACCCAGAGCCTTGTGCAAGCTGGGCCACACCCCAGCACTCACTGGGGGATTCTAGGCAGGGGCTCTCTCTACCTGTGAGCCACACCTCCATTACAGTTTTTGTTTTATTATGCTCCTAGCTGCTGCTTGTCTGTTTGTTTTGAGACTGGGTTTCATCTAGTCTTGCTGGCCTGCAGCTCCCTATGACCATGTTGCTGCACAGGTGTCAATCCTCCTGTTTCTGTCTCTAGAGTACTGGGATTATAGGGCTGTGTCGCCACATCCATCCCTTTTGCCTTCTTAATATCATCAGCTTTGTGTGTGTGGGTGTGTGTGGGTGCACATGTGTGCGCATGTGTGTGTGTGTGTGTGTAAGAGAGTATATATGTGTGTATGTGAGAGAGAAGCAGTGTGAGTGAGAAAGACGTGTTTGTGACAGAAAGAGAGAAAGAGAGAGACAGACCGGGGGAGAGAGGGTTTTTTTTTGTGTGTGTGTGTGTGTGTGTGTGTGTATGAGAGTGTATATATGTGTGTGTGAGAGAGAGTGTATATATGTGTGTGTGAGAGAGAGAGAGCAAAAAAGAGAGATGTATGTGGCCCAGGGAGAGTTTCATGTGGTTTAGTTCAAGTTGCCCTAAAACCTCAGTGTGGCCCAGAAAGGCTCTGAACTCCTGATCCTCCTGCCCTCACCTTCCCAGTGCTCAGTACCAAGGGTCACTGCCACACCTGGCTTTGTCTTCAGTGTTTTGAGATCAGTTATCTTAGGCATCCCTGGCTTGCCTAGGACTCTCCCATATGCTGGAATTAAGGGGGTGCGAGGATGCCTGGCTTGTAACCTCTAAGTGTCCAGACCTGTGTCTGGCGCCTTCTAATCAAAGCCCTCAGCACACAAGGACAGACACCGTCACCCACATCACTTTGGTCATTATTTTTCTGCAGGTACCAGCCTGTCAAAATGCCAATCCTGAAGAGTCTGGGGGTGGGAGACCCTAAGGTGCCACGGGCAGGTACCCTGCCCCTGCGGTCCTCTCGCAACCCCTTTGAAGATGCTTCAGCGCTGGAAGAAGAAGCTCGGGAGCAGGGGACACTGCCCAATGGGACGTCGTGTGGCCGGCGGGCCACGCTGGAGAAGCTGGCTGGTCTGGCTCATTTCCGATTAGGCTGGACCTCTGGCCGGCGGGCAGGCAGCCCCGGGGATGGGCAAGGCCGTTCTTTCTTGGGCCGTGTGCTGGCACCAGGCATACGAAGGAGCTCAGCCGATTTTGGCCTCCTGACCCGGCTTCAGGGGTTCCGAACCCACGGCGATGAGGAGCCAACTGGAGAAGCCGCTCGAAGACTGGCTTTTCTGAGACTCGGTCGTGGGCCCAAGCCCCGACGGGCATCCTTGGCAGAGAGAGTGGTACCTGCAGGTGAGGCGGCCCCTGAGCCCCCACCCAAAGTCCCGGAGCCTCCAAAAATGAAGGAACCACTATCGGGTGAGTGAGTGGGGACTCTTGATGCAAGCCTAGGACACTCACTGCTGCATCCATCAACCCTTGGGGGTGGGGTTCCCCTTCTTTCTACCTAATCTCATGCCAGCCTTCGTCTGTGGCACCATCTTGAGTCATACGGCCCACGTCCAATCACCCTTCCCTCCGAAAGTCCGTATTTGGGTCAGCAAGATGGCTCAGTTTGTTAAGGTGCTTGCTGCACAAGTCTGACGCCATGAGTTGAAACCTTGGAACCCAAATGACTGTAGACACACACACACACTAAATGAATGCTAACGACCGCAAAGGCCATTTCCAACTTCTCATGTCCATGTCTGACACCAAATGAAAGTCCAGCTAGCATGTTCCATGTTCCTGAACTCTGTAAGGCCCCATTTCCCATTCCCCAGCCTCCAGCCCCCTTTCCTCCCCTGCCTAAGACTACCTGGCCCTGAGCTTCACACTGCCCCCCACCCCATCCCTAGCTCAGGCCGCACAGCAGCCATTCCCACCCATTCCTTTCTGAACCTCACCTCCTTCCTCCGCCTCCAGCTTCAATGTCATGTCCAGGCTTGCTTTTCGAAAACACCTGCCCCAGCTGCTCACCCGTAGTCCCGCAGTACCTGGGTTACTTCCTATGGCCACCATGGGTGCCTTGGAGAGTAGAGACAGTTGGTTCCAGGCTGTACCCAACAGGCGACCTGTAGAGGACCCTTCGATGTCTCTTCCCAGCTCTGGCTGGCTGCTGGAAATCTGCCTGCCTTGGAACTGGAGACTCATCCTTCCAATCTTTCATCCTTGTGTGGAATTGTCCCTGTCTCTCCTCTCGTTCCCCTCTGTCTCTCTGCGTGCGTGCGTGCGTGCGTGCGTGCGTGTGTGTGTGTGTGTGTGTGTGTGTGTGTGACTGACAATAACTTGCAAGAGTCAATGTCAATTCTCTTCTCCCACTGTGTGGATCCGGAGGATCAAATTCAGTTTGTCAGGCTTGGTAGCCAGTGCCTTTACCTGCTGAGCCCTGTCCTTACCCACAGTATTCTGTTCTTAAGAACACCAGCTTTTGGCTTAGGAGCTATGCTCATGATGTCTGGGAAGATCATATTTCTAATTGAGGTTACATTTGTAATACTGGAAGACTAGAAGTCACAGCTTGGTTGAGAGGACACAGTCAACCCATAATACCAACCCATCCTCATCCTCAACCCCACCCCCATGCTATGTCCCATGCTTCCTCTGTGTCCCTCTCTTCCTGAGCCACCATCATGTTCTCAATGCCTGGGCCTGTGAGGCAGCTTAGCTGGGAAAGCCTGGGAATCTGAACTCCATTTCTGGAACCCAGGGAAAGATGAAAGGGAGAAGCAGCCCCACAAAGCTGTCATAGGACCTCCATACATGCAGCAGTGCATGTGTGCTTGCTCCCTCCCCTATCATGTGCACACATATAAACAATAAAAATGGATAAATGAGGTCTAGAGAGATGGCCCAACCATTAAAAGTGAGGCTCACAACCCAAAACATAAACGGACAAATTCAATTTTTTTCCTTTCTTTTTTTTTGGGGGGGGACAGGGGAGTGAACCCATGGTTTACTACCGTTTTGTATTTTGGAATTTTTTGTTTTTATTATTGTTATTTTATGAGCTTGTGTGCACATATATATGTGCACTATGTGTGCGATGCCCTAGAGTCCAGAAGGGGGCACTGGATCCCCTGGAGAGGGAGTGAGACCATTGTGAGCCACCATGTGGGTGCTGGGAACTGGACCTGGGTCCTCTACCCTTCCAGTGGTCTCTCTAGACTCTGTATGGTTTTTGAGAAGGTCTCACTTTATAGCCCTGGCTCGATCTATAGATCTCTGTGAATGAGACTGGCTTCCAACTTTAGGGCAATCCTTCTGCCTCTGCCTCTGTCCTGGGATTACAGGTGTGTTCCACCAAACTTGACTCTCTCTCTTTTTTTCTCCCTCAGTTTGAGACAAGGTCTCTAAAGTAGCCCAAACTAGCCTTAACTTGAGGTTTCTTCTGCCCTGGTAGGTAGGCCATGTCTGCTTCATCGTGCCTGGCTTTCTTGTTCAGTCTGTAAATTGCAGTGCCAAGCTCACTCCCATGCTAAAATGCCCTCCACCTCGCTCTGTCTTTTCCCCAGCCTCCCCCAAACTCCATCCTCCTCCCCAGCCCTGTGCCACCCTCTCTCAGCTTCAGCCCCACCCCCTACTTCATGCATCATCGGGGGACCTTCCTGGAGCCTCTCCTGTCCTCTGATGCCCTCCACATCCTGGACAGAGGCTATTTCAGCTCCGGCTCCCTGGGGACTGGGAGGGCACTGCAGAGAGGTGAGGAGGGGGTGACTGGAGCCCCCGCCTTCTGGAAACGGATGGGCAGAAATAGCGCTGCTCAGGAAATAGCTTCTCTGCCAGGGAGGAAACGGCGGGGAGGGGGGGGGGAGGTGTTGAGGGTAACTCTTGGCCAACGGGACCCTCCTCCCCTTTGGCCTCTACTTAAAGCCTCTCAAACCCATGACTCCCCTTTTCACAGTGGGTCCCACCTTTGTAGAGCGTGGCCTTACCATCACAGCCATCCCACCCCCGAAGACCCCTAACCAGCCTGCCCCTTCTCCCCTCCATGGCTCTCCATCAGTTACTTACCTGACTCTGAGCGCATCTCTCAACCCCACAAGTCGCACTCAGAGCCTCCTCTCCGTCCCAGCCCCTTCCTCCAATCCCACCGTTTTCTATTGCTAACCTTGTACCTGCGCGAGCTGGTCCATCCTTGGCTGCCTCTCTAACTGTTCTCTTCTCCCCAGCTCCTTCCCCAAACCCTCTCATCACATTTGCTTCCTCCCTCATCACATTTTTCTCTGTGTCTGTCGCTCTGTCTAGCATGAAGCTCAGAACATAGCCCGGGACAGCCTGGAGCCCAAGGCAATCCTCCTGTCTCAGCCTCCCAAGTGGGAGGATGACCAATGTGAGACCACACACCCAGCTTCTCTATGTCACCTGCTGTCCTTGTGGCCTCTGCTCCACACGCAGGTTCCTCTCCAAAGCTCCTGGCCGGAGTCCTTCATCTTCCCTCAACCTCTGCTTCCTCAATTCCTTCCCTCATCTTGGTCCTTTCTGGGGACTTATTACTGACTCTTTTTTTAAATAATATTTTTATATTTATTTATTATGTATACAATATTCTGTCTGTGTGTCTGCCTGCAGACCAGAAGATCTCATTTCAGATGGTTGTCAGCCACCATGTGGTTGCTGGGAATTGAACTCAGAACCTTTGGAAGAGCAGGCAATGCTCTTGACTGCTAAGCCATCGCTCCAGCCCCCCCCCCTTTTTTTTTGAGACAGAGACTCATGTACCTCAGAAATGGCTTCAAACTTGCTATGTAGCCTAGGTAGACCTTGAACTCTTTTTAAAATTGGTTTATTATTTTATGTGTACGTGCTTTGCATGTATTTCCGTGCACCACACGTGTGCCTGAGGAGGCCAGAAGAAGGGATCAGATCTTCAGCCCCAAGACCTTGAACTCTTCATCCTCCTGCTGGGATTGCAGGCAGCCCCATTCCTCTTTTTCTTCTCTCTCTGTCTCTCTGTATCTCTCTTCTCTGTATCTCCCACCCCCCTCTTGTGTGCACATGCATAGATGGAGGACAGAGAACACTTTCCAGGAAATGTGGGTCCTGGGATGGAACTCGGGTCATCAAACTTGGCAGCAGGCACCTTTGCCACGGAGCCCTCTCACTTTACTTGTTGTTTTCTTTTTGTTTTGTGACAAGGTCTCTCTCTGTAGTCCAGGCTGCTCTGTTGAGTGCAATAGCTGATGTTAAGGGCGAGTGTCACCAGGGTTGACAATCACTCTCTCTCATTTTGGAGGGAACTAGCGGCCACATCCCGAGCTCTGACACCCTCACCACATCCTTCACCTTTCAGTTGTGGTGTCCTGCGCTCTTTCTCCTCATCTCTCCACTCTCTGATTTTGCGAGTCCTGGGGCACATGCCCCACTTCCTGACACCCCCTTTTCTCCCCCACCCAAACCCCTCCACAGTGCTGGAGATCCTGGGTCTGATCCAGAAGCGCGAGCTGGCACGGGCGGACGAGCACATTCTGGAGCTGGAGGCGGAGGCGCCGGGGGAGGCCGAGGCGGGCGCGGGGCGGCGCGCGCGGGATGTGGCGCTGCTGTACGAAGCGCTGCAGCGCGAGCTCTGGGCGCTGGTGCGCGAGACTCT